CAACCCACAAGCCAGATACTGGATTGCCTTTGAGTACCCCAGCTCTCTTTAATCCTCCAATCAATTGCCAAGTCCTGTCAGTTCTACCTCTTTAATCACAATGGACTTGAGAATCAGTCCTTTTCTCTTTAAACCACAATAATTTAAATCTTCATCATCTCTCATCCAGATTACCACAATGGTTGATGATGTTTCTAAACTCTGCCTCCAACTTCTATAATTTTTAAAACCCTAATGCCCATGTAATTAATGACCAGGCTTAATTGTTTATATGAAAACCCAATTTCCCCTAACTTGTATGATTTCTTATAATAATAAGCCCAAATAGAAACAGAAGTATATAATATAGTCTACATTCCCTATTTTGGAAAATAACACAAGATTTTTTCTGGAGCCAAAATCTTCACATCATCCTTGAATTTTCCCTCTTATCCTCAAATACTTGTCTGATTCAACTTCTTGATTTCTCTTCATTCAGTCTTATACCTTCCATCCGTTCACAAACACTCTTGCTAACACCATCATCTCTTGTTTATATTATTGCAGTTGCCTTCTAATTATTTTGATCCCTCTAATACTTTCATCACACCACAAAGTGATTTTAGAAAATAAATATAAAAAGATAATTTTATATATTTGTTTAAATAAACTTTTCCTGCTGAAAAGGTAATTATGTCTATTACTTTGGACTTGATACAAGCTCAAACTCTTTATCTAAACCCACAGGAACATTTACCCATCTAAACCACATCCTTTAGTCTCCTTACTGACATAATGTTTCAAACTTAGGAACTCTCTGCTCATCCTCCCCAATCTTCCCACCATTATTCTGGCTAAGCCCACTGATTTTCTAGTTTCATCTAAGAAACCTCTTAATATTATTTCTAAATATGAGTTGAGTTGGGTGTCCTATATGTTCCAATAAGATCCTATACTTTTCCCATTATAGCATTTTTAACTATATTTACTAGCTATCTTTTAAGGTATTTTTCTATGTGTACATGCAAACCTATGTGCAGTTACAAAAATAGGAATTTACTGTTTTAAATCTGTTTTCACTTAAGATATCATGAACCTTTTCCCATGTTATAGTCTAAGCTAAGTAGTATCATGATATATGGAGACAGCGTACATATTTTAACCATTTCTTATTAAGCATGTAGGTTGTTTCCATTTTTTTTTTTGGTTAATATAAACAAACTATAACAAATATTTGTACTATGCTTTCATAGTCTAATAATTTTTTAGGATATACTTTAGGATACATTTTTAGATCTTTTAAACATTTTGTCAAATTCACTTCCTAGTTAAGTGTCACCATTAGTGTATACAGGCCACCTTTCCCCCCACACACACTTCCACCAATTCGCTCATTATAGTATCTTTTTCAGTCTTATAATTGTGTGCTATTTGGCTATCTTCCACTAAATTGCCCCCAATGAGTATAGGAATAGAATGTGCAACACACAGAAGGGCATCAATAGACATTTGATGAGTGAATAAATCAATGCTATGCAATCCTCTGCTAGGAATATATGGTAGTGTACTGGGGTCCTCTAACGCACATAAACAATATGAGGCACATTCCTGGGGTATCAGTTTGACCTGAATATTTTGGTGGTAAAATCTGCTAATTCTATATTGAAGTGTGTGTGTGTGTGTGTGCGTGCGTGCATGTGCATGTTTGTGCATGTGCAGTAGAGGTCTCTATAATGGAGTGGAATGTAAAATTCATGTTTCATATATATTTCTTTGTGTGATAAATATGAGATATCAAAGATTTTCCCACTTCACCTTGGGTTCTCTCTTCAGACTCAATCCTAGCGTGTAAAGGGTTCACACTTTCCCTCCTTTATTGTCAGGGACATTCCATAGAAAAGGCTCTGAAATATATCACAATATCCTATGCTGTATTTTGTACCATAGTTGTTTAATTTTAAAATAGAAGATGTTTTGTGCAGATATTTGTATGAGCATAATTTTCATAAATAAAACATTTTAAGAGGCTTTTATTTTTCACAATTCAAAATGTCCTCTGTTTCAATAAAAACAAAAGAAGTTCCCAACTATCCGAAAGCTTAAAATATGTGCTCATATTGTATATGTGTTAGGAACAAAGAAAAATGTGTGGAAGGGTCTAAACCAGGCTATTACCATTGGCTAGTTCATGGGGGATTAGACAGTTGGTGTAGAGCAGGGGTGAACAGTTAGCTTTGCCTTTTACACCTTCATAGTGTGTTTTTCAGCTAGTTATAACAAGTACTTACTAACTTTAAATTTGGGGGGAAAAGTCAAACAAGTAAACACAGTCACTGTTAACTTTGTCCACAGTTATCTGCAAATCCCAAAGAAAGACTTTAGTCCACTTCTATCTGCTACTTTTAAAAAATAAAAATCCCTCAAAAAGTGAGACTAGTATAAATGTACTTGCTTAAGTTATGGTTCTGAGTGTGCTTTTTGAAATACAAAAGATTAGTAAACAATAATTGTGATTCTTATTTATAATTTATAATTGAACAGTTTCTAATTGTTTATCATCTAAGTTTCTTGTGAAATGGAATTTCAAAAACAGTTATCCACTTTTGGAGAAAGAGAACTTAAGGAAACAACTGGGGTTTTACCTTAGTTTAATATGTGGAAGTGAGCAATTAAAGGTGGTAGTATCCCAGTTGGATTTCACTACTGTTTAATAATACCAGCTTTTGAGTTGGTGTGGAAAGCTTGCAGAACAGCTGGCGAAATAGCACTGTTTGTCATTGACTTTACAAAGCAAAATCAGGGCTATCTTTTGTGTCAGTGGTTATGTATTTTTAAACAGATATCACTGATATTAGAAATAAAACAGCTGTAGGGATCCAGGCCCTGGAGGTAAGTCAAGGTGGGAAATAGCCTATGCCCCTTTCTAAATGAAGCTCACCCACGCTCACAGCATTTGAAAGAACACAAAATTAGGCTGAGCACATATGATTTCTTATCTTTATAAGATAAGAATGTTGGACCTCCCCGGTGGCACAATGGGTTGAGCACAGTGCTGTGAAGCTGTCTGCAGCCTCTGCATCGCCGGTTCGATTCCAGGCTGGCCAGGGAGAATCCCACATGGCGGGGCAGCCTCTGCATCGCTGGTTCGATTCCAGGCCAGCCAGGGAGAATGCCACGTGGTGGGGCATACCTCTCCTGTCTCGCCTGCTGCTCCCTCAGTAGTGCTTTTGGTCCATCTGCCTTTTCTGCTCCCCACTCTGTCTCTGGTGAATCCTCTCACCCTCCTGTGACTCTGGCCTGTACCCCAGCTCTTGTATAAATAAAATAAATCTTTAAAAAAAAAAGGAATTTTGAGGAAATTCATTTTAGCAAATACATTTCTGGCCATAGGTTTTTTGTTTTTTTTTTTAATTTCTGGAATAAGAATAGTAACTGTATTTTCTACCATTGTCCTAATTTCACAGATTTTATTGTATTGTCCTTATAGAGCAGAGATCTATGATCTTCCATTGTAGACCAACAGTGGGCCTCCTAGAGTTTTGACAAAATTTTAAAATTTATCTGAAAGCAGATATTTAATAATAAAGAAGATGAGAAGTTTCAGCTTCCTTTATTACAGCGTTGTTTCGTTTTCTTCAAAACCTTTCTTATTATCTGGTATTTCTTATCCATGGTCTGTCTTCCCCCCACTAGAACATAAGCTCCCTGGGAGCAGGCAGCTCGTCTGAATTGTTAATGCCAAAATGCCGCCAGCAGGCCTTGGCACACAGTAAGAACCTATAGAGAGGGTCTGAACAAAGTATGATAACAGTATGATGACAAAAGGAGGAGTGGGCTGATTTGTGGGTGCAGAAGAGCCCAGATTGATATTTTACATGAGGATGAACACCTCCTGAGAGGTCACTGTAGTGGTTTCGTTTATTTATTCAGCAAACATTTATTGAGAGTCCTCTTATATTATATAGCAATGCATAAACTGATGTGGATCCTGCCCTCGGTAGACTTATAATCCAGAGGGAAGATGGACATCAAAAAAAAAAAAGATTATATAACTCAGTATCTAAATACAAATTGTGGCAAGTGTGATGAAGGAAAAGTACAGGCTAATATAGTTGTTTGTGAGAGGGTATCAGGTGTTGGCTGCACAACACCTGAGTGATGTGAGTATACTAAAAACCACTGAATTAACACTTTAAAAAGGTGAATTTTATGGTATGCAAATTCTATCTCAATAAATCCATTTTATTAAAAAGGGGCACCACAGTGGCTCAGAGCCCAGCCCAGGATTCCTACATTTTGGGTTCATAATCCTGTAATCCTGGTTCTGACATTCACTAGCTATGTTCTGAGCAATTTATTTATCATTTCTGTATCTTGGATTCTTCACCAATAAAATGAAGATTATATTAACACCTGCTTCTAAGATTGTTTTGAAGGCTAACAAGTCAGTCCCAAAGCACTGATGACAGTGCCTGATACCCTAACAAGGGATGCTACTATTACTTTGGGGGAGCTGGGGAGGGAACAGGAACCAAACTGAAAGAACATGTAGTAGAGGCAAAGTCAGAAACATCTTGATCTCCATCCCTTGTCAACTAGAAGCTTTGCTTCTAGGCCTGTGTTAAAAAATTTGAAAGCATTCTGTTTTGACTTACTTTTCTTTCTGGAAAAAGCTCTTTTGTCACAGAAATTGACCATGCCACAACCATAACTGACTGAACAATGGCATGTTTTCTCATTTATAACACAAAGCAAATTTCCTGACTTCACTCTTCATTTTTTTCCCTAACAGTTTTATTGAGATAGAACTCACATACCTTAAAATTCCCCCTTTCAAAGCACGATTCAGAGTGTTTAGTATATTCACAGGGTGATATAGTCATCACTCCTTATTTCAGAACATTTTCATCATCCTCAAAAGAAACTTGATGACCCTTCAAAGTGTTTGCCAACCTCCCCTCCTCCCAGCCTCTGATAATCACTAACCCTCATTCTACTTCTAATGGTTTCTCTGTTCCTACCTTTATTCTTGAAAAGGCGTGTGGGAATGATTTGTGCTGTTTTGGTGGTTGCCAAAGTTTACCCTCAGATTCCATAGGGAAAATAAATGCCTTCTGATCAAGTACAGTTGGAAGGTACCTAAATTAAAAAAAAAAACAAACCCAAGTTTGCTGTCTTAAAAACTTGATAAATTATAATTAAAAAACAATGCTTTCTAGCTCAATTACATTTTGTAGGAAATATTCAATTGGTAATTGCAATAAATTAGACCAATCTTTAGCATTTTTACCACTATAAAATTGCAGTTGTTTATTAAGCAGAAGAACTTCCGAGTCTGATAAAGGCCATTATAGCATGAATAAAAAGTGCTGTCTCTGGCTGAGTTTATATGATTCACAAATGACAGAATTACTACACTATAAAACATTTCTTGGTAAAGAAAAATACATAATGCTCTATTTTGTTTAATAAAATCAAATCACAGTATAGTGGTAAGTATATTCAAAATGCTGATCCCTAAGCAAGCTATACTTACATTCTTGAACCCTCTGCTATTTTACATAATTACAGACTTAAGGAGCAAAGGGGGTTATTAAGCAGTGGGCAGTTCCATGGGAGAACAATGTAAAAGCAAAATAAAGCCATAAGAATAAGCACATGTGTGTAATATTATGTCTTAAAAATTCTAATTTCAAAGCCTGTTCCAGTTCCCTAAAATTGTCAGCATAATTAAGATCAATAAAACTCGACTACCAATGACTTGATTTTTTGATTATACTGTGATGCCTACTTTTGTAAAATAATTTAAGAAGCAACTTTTGTATGTCTGATTTCATTCCAACATGTAAAGAAGTTATTGTTCCCAACCTTACAATAAGCAAAAAGCTGGATAAACTGAAAGACAACTCTTTTTAGATTCTTCGGAGAATTAGAATCTCTGGGTAAACTGTTGCCCAAAAAACTGGAGAGAGAGGTGGAAAAAGTCTGAGAGGGGAAGACTTCTGCTTGAGCTAGTGCTGGCATGGACACTTACATGCTGACAGTTGCAGGAGGCTCAATGTGGATTAGCTTGAGAATCAAAACTCTGAGGGGCCAAGTTTGAGGTGGGTAGCATGCTTTTGTGAATTTTACCTCTCCCCCCATGTCTCACTGTGAAGATCAGAAAAAAATTGTCCTCTGCATCTGGTAGGGGAAAGAAGAGATTCCTACAGAGATTTGTTCTTCTGTCCTCTGTATTGAAGGCCATCTCTCAAGGAAAATTATTTTACTGAAGCATTCTCTTACCGGAAGAAAGGCAATTAGCAAACTCTAGTTCCCTCTTGTTTTTTTTGTTTTTTTTTCTGTCTCACCTAAGGAGGGAAAACACTGAGAATGGCCTGTAAAGCTAACAGTCAAGGGGCACATACCAACTAAAAAACTGATACTTAATCATAGGATTATTGAATGTTTCTTCCCAATACACACTTTACCACTGCATCTACAGAGCATATGGACAACTGAGGATTGCAGAGACTGCAAGGCTCAGACCCTGTTGGACAAAGAGTTTCTAGGGAAAACCAAAGATAACAGGGAAGATAAAAACAAAGACAGTGGAGGAACTTGAAGCCTCAGACACCTACAGTTACAGCAAATAGCAAACAAGTATAACTCTAGCTAAAACAAAGTTCTGCTTATCTCTGTTCCTATTACTCATTACATCATGTCCCATTTTTAACAAAAAGTTACAAGGTGGTTAAAAGGCAAGAAAAAGCAGTCTGATGAGACAAAGCAAAATTCAGAATTAGATTCAGACATAAAGGAGATGTGGTGATTATTAGACTAGGAAATTAAAATAACTGATTAATATGCTAAAGGCTCTAATGGAAAAAGTGGACGATATGCAAGAACAGATGGGTAAGCAGAGGTCAAAACTCTTAGAAAGAATCAAAATGAAGTGTTAGAAATCAATTACACTGAAAAAACAAATTCCTTTCATGGACTTATCAATAGACTGGACACAGCAAAAGAAAGAATGAGTGAGCTTGAAGAAATGTCCAAATAAACTCTGAAACTGAAATGCAAAGAGAAGGAACAGAATAGAATATCCAAGAACCATTGTACAATCACAAAAAGTGTAACATACACAAAATGAGATTGTCAGAAAAAGAAGAAAGAAAGGAACAGAAAAAATATTTGAGTAATAGGGACTGAAAAATTTCCAAAATGAATGGCAGACACCAAACCACAGATGCGGGAAGCTCTGAGAAAAACCAAGCAGAATGAATACCCAAAAAACTACTGCTAGGCCTATGGTATTCAAGCTATGGAAAACCAGTAACAAAGAGAAAATTGTGAAAGGAGGCAAAGAAAAAATATCTACAGAGAAAGAAGCATAAAAATTATACCAGATTTCTCTTCACAAACCATGCAAACACCATGCAAACATAAAGTGAATATTTGAAGTGTGGAAAGAAAAACCCCACCAACCAGGTATTGTACATCCTGTGAAGTTATTCATCAAAGTGAAGGAAAAATGAAGATATGCTCAGACAAAAATGAAGGGAATTGGTTGTAAAAGACCTGTCTTGCAATAAATGTTAAAAGAATTTTTCAGAGAAGGAAATTTATGCAGGTCAGATAGGTAATGTATGAGGAAAAAAGAAAATGCACAAATCTAGTCACCTTGTACTTCTTTTTGTCCCAAGGTCCCTAAAGGATTTGCCTGCCTCTCTTAACCGTTCAAATTCTTAAGTTCACTTATATATAATGGCCAGTGTTCTTAGATTGTACGTAGTAGAAGGAATAAGGGACAGTATCTTGACACCATCTTCCTAGAATTGAAAGCCTCTTTGTGTATTTCTTATTAATCCTTTTACCTCAGTGAATTAGAACTGAATTTAAATTGTGATGCATACTGTATCCTGCTTCTTTTCTGTTCAACATATAGTTTGAGAATTCTTTCACATAATTTCACTGTCATTTCTTAGACAATATCAATTTTAATAGCTATATATATACACGTATAGATGTGTTACATATTTCATTATTCTACTATTAACATTTAAGGTATCTCTAAATTTATTGCTATTAACTATAATGTTGAAATGAACAGAGATTTAGAGATTTACATATACATCTCCTTATTCCTAGGATACATTCCTAGAGGTTCCTATCAAATTAAAAAATAATAACTTTAAAATCTCACATATGTTGAAAAGATACCTCTAAGAACTCTGTGCTATTTATATAACCATCAGTGTAAAAGGATGCCCATCCTGTTGTCACCTCACAGCACTGATGTAATCAGGGTGGTTTAAATAATCTGTTTTGGTAACTTTTAAAGAAAAATAGTAATGTGTGTTCAATTGAATTTCTCCAGTTTACCAGTGAGATGACACACTTTCCACATTTACTGGTTATTTGCATTTCTATCTCTGTGAGTAGTCTGTTCATGTCCTTTTGTCTATGTCAAGATTTGTTTGTTTTTTTAATTGGCAAGAGCTCTTTGTTTTAAGACTATTAGTAATTTTTGGTATAATATCTTGCAAATGTTTTTTCCAGTTTATTATTTTTTAATTTATGATGCTTTAAATATTTTTTGTTTTTAAATTTCAGACCCACAGAAAAATTGAAAGAACAGTGAACATTCACCTAGATTACCTAGTGTTAACATCTTCAGTTACCTGTGCTTCACTTTTCTCTCTGATTAAAACATAGTCATAGTCTATAGAAGTGAGATTTGTGTATTTAAAAATCCAGAAAATTCAATATTCAAAGGATAATGTACCTCTTAATCTACACTCACCAATTAACAGAAGGCTCTTCTTTCCCTCTTGTCTTTTCACTGTTATTTATTTGCTTTGTTCTTGTCAAACCTCCCCTCCCCAACACTAACACAACAGAGTACAAAATGAAGATTTCTGTGCAGTTCTGATAATGCTGGTACAGATGGTAGTCACCCTCCTAGTGTCAATAAGCAAAGTGTGGTCATTAAGAACAGTGTGAGCAGATATCACAGGCAATAAAATTCATGAAAGCCAGCAATGATAAGAGGAAAACCACACTTTGACATAGAAGAAGAAACATTGCCAAAGTGGGGATAATAGTGAAACCTATTTTGAACATAATACAAAAGCACTTTGAGCTCTTTGGAGAAAATATGCCACTTTGGATAATGTCCTTATTATTGTTTTCTGAATGACAGCTAGGAAAATCTTGCATTTGCTGGCACCCATTATTATTATTTTGTGTACCTACTGTTTTTTGCCTCTACTAGACAAAGCTACCAGATTTTCCTTTCAAAAATACTTGCTAAAAAGGACAATGATCTTTTGTGCAAATTGTGATTCTGGTTTTTAGGTGATTATAAGGTAGAACAGTACTACATTAAAGACATTTGGCTAGATTGAATCTGGACTTCACCAACCTGTGTGACCTGGAACTGGTATAAGTCTCAGTTTGCTCATCTTTAAAAGGAAAGCATAATTACCTACAGTTTTTTGTTAAAGCCCTTTGCAAACTGCCCAGTGTTAAGAAAATATTGATAAAATTCAAGAGAATGAGGACAATTATTGTATACCTGCCCTAAGCAATTGTTAAGAGTATACCAGGAATGAACTCCTGGTTTCCTGGGTTTCCATAGAAAGAATGAAGCCCAGATATCTGAACAATTGTTGGTTCTCAGTTACTTGTAGGAACTGTGCTCTACTGTCAAAGAAATGACAGAGATCTGTTATAATATGCCACGTCTATCAGAATAGGTTGTTGTCCTGAGATTTTGGCTTCTGACACTCCAACAGACTTATAGCTTGAGAGACAATGACTGTCCTACCAGCCTGACAGCCAGGCTCCACTCCTGGCTTAATCCCAGTGCATGGAGCTTACTCCAACCTTTATAGCAATAGGGTAACAGAATTTCTAGCACCAATTTCTTCACCAAACAAAGGCAGGTGCCCCCTGAGGCCCAAAGAATATCGACTCCAGAGAACCATGTGGATCCCAGGGATTACAAAAACAGTCTGCATTAGGAACACCAAGAACATTTGTTATATGCAGATTCCTCTATCCGAGGAGCCAGTGAAAGGACTGTAAATTAAAGTTTGAGACTTGTGGTCTCTTAAATAGAATGCTCACATCCCAGGTGATACGTAAGACAATGCCACTGGTCATGTGAAGAGAATCTAAAGACTTCTATTTACATAAGATAAGGAATCATTTATACTACTGTTTAATATTCAGTTTGTCACTGGATCCCCCACAAGGTCATGTCATCTGCAACTGTGGAGACCTCCTGCGAGTAGGAGTTGTACCGCACAAAGGCATGGATACTGGAGCCAGCTTTGGCACATCTGCTTTCAGGGCTTTACAGTATACTGCAGTGGGTTTATGGATTCTGCTATTTAGTTTGAACTAAACCTGAAAAAATGGACAGGTATCTTCAAAAGACTGTAAAAATGTGGCATTGTAAACACACCTATACCCCCAAATTACATACAATGTTGTAAACCATTGCCAACAAGGATAATATAATAAAAAATAAAGTAAAACTAATGATTTAAGCATCAGTGCACAATAAGAAAGTAGAATTTTACTCCTAGTGTGAGCTTTTTTAAGCCACATTTGAAAGTAAAAATGATGATAATCCAGTTGAATTTATAGTTAGCCAAAAAGCAAAAATAAAAAAACTTAAAAATTATCCAAAAGATGGGTAGAAGTATGGATTTATATGCAAATATCCAACCAGCATCCATGCTGATTCTCACCTAAATATAGAGTATGTTTTAGAATATAAGCAACAGCAAGTACGAAGCATCATTATTAACAAGATTAAACAACAAAAACATTATAATTAACAAGCTTTTTTAAGCAAGAGAAGTTTTTTTTCAGGCCTCCCTGGTGGCACAAGGGGTTAAGCACCGCACTAGGAAGCAATCCACAACCTCTGCAGCATGAGTTTGATCCCTGGCCGGCCAAGGAGAAACCCACAAGGTGAAACAGACTTCTCCTGTCTCGCCTGCTGCTCCCCTCAGCAGTGTATTTCAGTCAGTCTGCCTGTTCTGTTCCCCACTCTGCCTCTGGTGGATCCTCTCATGCCCCGTGTCTCTGGCCTGTACCCCAGCTCATGTACTTATAAATAAATCAATCTTTAAGAAAAAGAGAGAGAAAAGTTTTTTCTATTAATAGAGAAGAAATTTTTAAATGCTTATTTCACCTTTATCTCATTTAAAATTCTGTTCATATATTGGGTTGCCAGAAAAGTCATGATACATTTTTGCATAGTAAAATAGAAAAAATATGTCATGACTGTTCCAACAACCCACTGTTTTAGAATATGTTTACTCTGTGATAATAAGCATATAATTTATTACTAAATAAACATACCTATATTGTGGCTACATGCCCATATTCTTTGGCTGATAACCATGTGGTCATCATAAAAAGTTCTGTCCCAACTCAAAACTTTCATGACTAAGTCTTCCTTCTGACCTGAATCAATGTTGACACTAGTAGCCTGTTCCTCCATGAGTTTTACCATCAATAATGAAAAAGCACCCTATCTTATCAGGGAACATCAGAAGAAAAATGCAATGAATTGGCCAGTCTGACTTCTTCTAGGTATGAGAACCCAAAGGAATTCTGGGTTTTGCAACCTGCTTTGCATATAATTCCCTGTAGGCCACAGGACAGTCTGAAGTCAAGTCTATTCATGGGGTATTCCTTCAAGGGCAGGACCCTCTCTGATATTCTACCAGGGGTCCTTATCCCCTGGGTATCCCATTTTATATTTATGGCTAATGATTTTCTTCTCCCTTGAGCCACTTCCTGGGACTCACACTTTGACTCCCAGGACTTGCTTAATTTTGAAGACCCACTTTAGACTTTACTCCAGTTTTTGCCCTTGGCTCACCTCACTTCCTTTTCAAATTGCATGCCACTTTAGCACCACCCACAGCTATGACTGAGATGCTGCTGCATCCTTCCCATGCTTGTGTGCTCAAACAAACCAAAAGGCTCCCATCTCCTAACAGGAAGCCAGTGATTATAATTTTAGGTTGAATAGGAAAGAAAGTATCCAAGGGCCACATTTGGGAAGCAAATCCATGCCCCAACATCTTCCTTCACTTTTCTGGGCTCTGATAGAGGGTCAGGACACTGCTTGTCAAGGGAGAAGAACTGCAAGAAAAGGTCTCTACCAGAAACTTACTGCTTGGTTCTTTGTGGCTGCCATTGCTACCATGTTTGCTCTTTTCAGTTATCCTACCCTGCAAATCTACAGCCCAGACTGTCCTTTTTCAAGATATGGGGACAATTAGAAAGCTGGAAAGAGGAGACAGAACTTTCATTAGAGCTGGAGACAAAATCTCTTCTCTAGTTTGCTTCCTCACCTCTTCTGTCTGAGGCTCTCTTCTTTGCCGTATGTATGCTCAGTCATATGCCACATATTTTGGCCACCTATACAGATCCCCTAGCTGCCATCTCTACTGGCTTCCCTCTCCAGGGTTCCCTTGATTTTGAGCAAGGAGTCAATGTAAGTTGGTCATGTAACTTCCAATATTTTCTTCTCCAAGAATTCCTTCTATTGTTTTCCCTACAGATTTCTTGTTTTTAAAGATTGTGTATATTAACTTATTTGCATATCATATTTGTATTCCTTAATTAAAAATCAAAGATATAAATGACAGAAGGGTTGGCTCTATCAAGGGATGATGGATGCCTATGGCACCACCACCTTCAAGTCAGGGATAGGGAGACAGGTACAACAGACACCCAGAGGCTCCACTGCTCATTACCCAGAGCTGGAACTTGCCTCTGTCTATAGGTTTCCATGATTCCTTGGGCTTTTTCTGAAACTTGACCTCACTGTCTGGTATTATTCACTTATGCTTGGTATATTTGCAATGCAAATAAGGGCCACAGGGTTTAAAAGCTGAGTGCAAAACCTTAAACTACATTCACTCAAATTCAGGAGGTCTATAATAAGAAGGTCCAAGGTAAGGCAAGGTCAGTTCTCTTCAACTCAATTCTAATTTTAACAAATCATCTCTTGGGATGTATAACATAATGAATATTTCAAGCAAGTTTTTATTTTTGTTTTGCTTACCCAAATCGTCTTTACAATAAAATACCTATGCTAGGTTAAAAGTTGCAAAGAAAATACCAAGAGATTGGAATAATTTAAAAATTGATTTTCAGTAAGATAATTCCTCTAGTAGTTGAATATTCAATACTTTTCAATGAAACTTAAAAAGAGTGAAAACTATGACCCTGAAGTAATTGTCATGGGATCAAGCATTTTAACTCAATAAAAGTAACCCAGAATAAACTTTATTAAAGTACAAATTCTGTCATTTATTTCTTATACAAAACTTATACTGAAATTAGTAGAATGTATATGAACAAAAACAAGAAAATTTTATCTTTACAGTCATCTGACCTGAGTGAGAAAAGTTTTTTTTTTTGTTTGTTTTTATTGTACTTACTTAGAACCCTGAAATACCTATTTTACTTACCATTTGGAAGGCTGAGAAGAATACAAGTGGCCATCCTCAAGAGGAGTCATTAACACGTGATGGTTTACAACATTTAAATACTTCTCAATGTGAATCTGTTACAGAAAAGTTAAAGTTTAGGCCATTATGGTGGACTTAAGATACTCAGCTAATTAACTCCATTTCATTAGGTTAACACTCTGAATCGTGTAATTAAGCCAAAAGACACAACATGCTATTCATTTATTACACGCCTAAGGTACCATTAGGCATCTCAAGGCCAAATTACTTTCACTATTCCAAAAAGCATCATAAACAACTGAGACTCAAAGCTTGAGTGACCGGTAGCACTCTCCACAAATGAAACTATGCACAATAGTTAGGAAATTGCTTAGCCAGATAAATTTACTAGGCAATATGGACATGGAGTAATGGCTTTCTCTTAAGAGATTTCAAGCCAGCATCAAGGAAAGAATTTGGCCTTTAGGTAACAGATTATTTAAAATGGCCAACCCAAGACTCCAGCTGGGTCCAGCCCTCTCATCATCAGGTAATATAGGACAATGGTGTGCTAGTTTGATGAGGTTACAATGTATACTACATCTCCCACAGCCTCAGGAGCTGAGAAACAAAGCGGATAACTAGTAAGTAAAGTCTGAAGCAAGAGCTGAGACTGACAATTATAGGTCTAGAAGATGGAGATGATCCTCATTTGGATCCATGTGCTAATTTATAAAAATTTAAATTAAATTTAGGATCAAACCACATTTGAGGGGTAATCACTGCATGGTCTTACATTAGTACCATCATTTCTTTGTGCAATGTGAATGGTTGTAAATCGATCACTTATTAATCATTATTTAAAAAATAAAGGAAAATGTTGAAAGAAAATAATCCAGTCAAAAAATGGGCAGAAGAGCTAAAAAGAAACTTCTCTGAAGAGGAAATGCAAATGGCCAACAGGCATATGAAAAAATGTTCAACATCACTTGTCATCAGGGAAATGCAAATCAAAACTACCATGAGATACCATCTTACACCAGTGAGAATGGCACATATTAAAAAAACTAGCAACAACAAATGTTGGCGAGGGTGTGGAGAAAAGGAACTCTTCTGCACTGTTGGTGGGAGTGCAAACTGGTCCAACCACTATGGAAAGCTGTGTGGAGATTTCTGGACCTACTAAACATAGAACTTCCATATGATCCAGCAATTCCACTCCTAGGTATTTACCCAAAAGACACAGAAACATCAATTCCAAAGAACACCTGCACCCCTATGTTTACAGCAGCACTGTTTACAATAGCTAAGCTTTGGAAACAACCCAAATGCCCAAAAATAGATGACTGGATCAAGAAGATGTGGTACATATATACCATGGAATATTACTCAGCATTCAAAAAAGATAAACACATGCAATTTGCAGCAACATGGATGGCGCTGGAAGGGATCATGCTCAGCGAAATAAGCCAAAAAGAAAAAGAAAAATACCGGATGGTCTTACTCATAACAGGAATCTAGAAAACTTAAATAAGGGACCAGGAAAATGAATAACTATAAGAAAGTGAAAATCAAAATAAACAAAAAACTATGAACCAGAGACACTTTTAGGGGGGCGGGGGCGGGAGGGGAGGGATTGGGGTCAGAATGGGGGGGCTGCAATTGTATGGGGAATATAACAATAAAATTTATTATTTAAAAATAAAATAAAATAAAAAAATAAAAAATAAAGGAAAATGTTGAGAAAGTTGATATCTATCCCACATCTATCTCTGTTACAGATTTACATAAGGGTTATGTGAGGACAGGAATTCTGTTCTAGAGGAATCTTTGTCTCATTACAGTATTTTATTTAATATCTAAAGCTCTATTACTCTTAATCCCATTTCAGTCCTTTTGATTGCTGCTTCGAGATCCTGAATGTCTAGAGTCCTTCCATTTTCTTCATGTGGGAAATTTGTTAATTTCTCCTTTAGTTCATAAAGGTCATCATGAACCTGATGGTACAAAAATACAAAATATTGAAGAGTACATATGTAGGTCATTAAAGTAGTTATCTATGTTAAAAGCTTGCAGTTTGCTTAAAATATTAAAGACAATAAAATTGACTTCATGGTGTTTATTGACAAGAACTGTGTTTATGGTTCTAGGATATACCTTATGACAATGTACCATCATTGCTTTTCAATTTTCCTTCAATTTTCTATTTTTCTTCCTTCATTAGAAGCAGATCCAAGACAAAGCTACAACTCAAGACTTTTGCCTTCTTAGGTAAGAAAACAATTGAGCCTGACCAAGATTATGCCAGACAAATTTCAACTAATTGGTTAAGAGGTAAGCTCAGGAAAATCCCATTGAAGCGAGGTTCTAGTGGAAGCAGTGCCTTTCAAAAGAGTATTGTAAATATGTTATCAGGGCCTGTTGGTTTTCATTTCTAGCTGGATCTTCCCCACCTACTCTGAAGAAGCAGTTCCGTAGGTGTGGCCTTGATTTTGTTTTATGTAGTCAGAAAATGACCCATAAGGAAAAAGCAACATATGTTATTACTTTTTACATTTTCCTTCCATTTGGATTTTCCTTGGAAATGAACTTCTCTCCAATGTCAAGCACCCGTGGACTAAAATGGTGGCTATGAAATTATTCTCTGCATTCATCTTAGAAACCAAACTCGAACAGATAAATACAGATGGCACCAATTATTGTATGGGCTGCTGCCACAAGAAAAACATTTTGTTATGCAAATTTATGAACCCAACACCTGTTTCAGCAAGAGTCACACCAATAACAATCTGCAGACTGGGTTGCTAAAGGCATTTTGAAACGGTTACCTTTTCTCTGTTAGCTTAACTGAACTTATACATTGATCCAGGCTATGTTATCAATTACTCTTGAATATCCCCATGGAGCCCAGTATTCAAAGGCTCAGGCTTTGTCTCTTTTCACTGATGGGCATCACAGTCTGGCAGGCACATCTGGTCATTTGTACTCAGCACAAATTGTCATGTAAAGCCTTCAGGGCTCACAGATTGAAATTTGAACACACCTACTGTTTCCTTGTAGGAACTAAAGATGAAGATGTACTTCTTTTGATTGTTTTGTCCAAATTACTGCTGTAAGCTAATTTATAGTCTACTCTCTAAGGAGAGTTGGCAAGTATAAAGAGGCAGTTCAAGGGCAAGACCACTTCCAGGCCCATGTTTTTTGGTTCATACGTTGAATGCACTGGGTTCCCTTCTTGTAGCACCAGTATTTGTACTATTTGTGGCCTCATATATCATTCGGTAATTATGCCTGTCAGTTGCTGGAGGGATACTTACTGGGAATTAAAGGTCTGGTTTCTTCATCTGCCTTGTGTGGACAATTGTACTTCTTTATTAAGTTGTGAGATAATATGTAATAGACCAAGTACATAGGAAGAACTCAGTAAAATGCAGGTGAACATAATTCCTAGTCCTATCATTTGCTAGTCATGCAATCCCCATACCATCCCAATTGTCACCAAAAAAAAGTTACTCTATTTCATTAAATTTTTTAAAAAGATTTATTTATTTATACAAGAACCGAGGTACAGGCCAGATGTGCAAGAGTGTGAGAGGATTCACCAGAGACAGAGCAGGGAACAGAACAGGCTGCTGACGAAATACACTGCTGAGGGGAGCAGCGGGCGAGACAGGAGAGGTCTGTCGCACCATGTGGGCATCTCCATGGCCAGCCAGGAACCAACCAGCACTGCAGAGGCTGCGGACCGCTTCATAGCGCTGCGCTCAACCATCTGCGCCACTATGGAGACCCCTGTTTCATTAAATATTTGACTGAAAATGAGAAATTGTGTGAAAATGAATGAAGATAGGCTTTGGAACCAGACAGATATGAACTGGAATCCTAGTTCCTCTACTAAATTGAGCTTGACAAATTGACTTGGTCTCTTAGTGCCTTAGTGTTCTCATCTGTACAATGGTGATAAATAGCTATCTCTCAGAATAGTGACAAGAATAAAATTCGTTAATGTATGTACAGTGCTTTGTATAGGACTATCTACATAGGAGGGGATGGAACAAATGTTATTTCTCTCCTGAAATGTAAAATCTAGTGAAATCTTCATACACAACTGGCACTTAGTAAGTGTTCCTAGATTTGAATTGTTTTCAATCTTGCTTAAGAACTTTTTACTTTTCTTTCCAGATATTTTCTTCTCCCCTCATAATAACCACACATCTGTTTGTATAATTGTAATAGAGACAAGTACTGTAGGAAATGTTTCACCAGACATGGGTAGGCAAAGAGATTAAATTCTAACTCTCTGTTCCTTCGTCAAATAAATCCAATCTACCATGGTTAAATTATGCCTGTCACTGATCATCTCTGTGATCATCAAATGCATGGCTTTGCACAAATTTCCTACTTGGAGGGAGATGATTATTTTGATAGTTTAGGGTTAAAATAAGGGCTTGAATAGAAAGCCCTTGAAAGCACTAATGCAGCAAAGATTTACCTTAGAATTTTAAAGAGCCATGCAATTAGAGTCCATATTGTCAAAAGCAGTCTCATAATTCCATTTTATTTATTTCTGATATAGTTTGGCTGAGTTGTTCTCTTCCCTTTCCCATTCATTTTTTGTTGTTGTTGTATGCTCTTGGCAAGCCAGACACAGGAAATGAAATGAGACAGTGATCAAGCTGTCAAATAACTAATATTTCCAAGGTTGGTATCAACATGCAGCTGTTGGGTCTTTGAAATATGATTTCCAAACTAATTAAAAAGATAATTTTGATTGCAAGACTAGGTGGTCCTTGTTGCATAAACATTAGGTCAAACCAGCATTTATATATGTTAAAAAGATACCACATATCACATTATCATCAGTCAAATATAAAAACAAAACTTCTAAAGTACCCAGTAGAAGAAAGCATGTATGACACATTCCAGAGTCTCCCCCACACTTCTTCAAGGTTGTGCTATAATCTTTCAAGAATGGATACACACTGGATTTATCTTTATCTCTGAGCAAGTTATTTCACCTTTTTGTACCTTAGTTTCTTCTTTTGAAAACTGGTAAAAATAAGATCTCCCTAATAGAACTTTTTTGATAGGATTTGAAATAATCAAAAGCTCTCAGCATAGTGTCTGGCTCTCAGTGAGTGTTGGCCACTATTTTAATTGTAATAGTCATAATTATCACTATAGTAAAACACCACTATTCTGATTATTTGAGGGAAACATTGTACAAAGTCTGAATCTATAATTCAGAGTTGATTGGAAGTGACAGAAGTTAAGTAGTTAACAAAACACTGCCTAGTAGAAGTCTATGTGGAAGTGATAATCACATTTTCTGGACCTCAAAAAATGAAAACAGACTTTGACACATGATCTGATGATGGGACAGAATATTCACAACCAAAACTCTCCTGGAAAATCCAAACACTAAAGCACATGTTTTCATTAAATTCATACAGAGTTTAGACCACTAATTATTTCTATATTAATATTTTCTCTTATTTCAGACATTTAATCACAATATTACTTTTGCTATTTTACCTTTTTATTTAGTAATTAATACTTTCTATGATTTACTATTTATACCTTTTATTATCTTTTCTAGAGAGCAGAAAATGTTAGTCCAACTTTACTGATATTTGAATAGTTCATAAATTATTGGAGACTGAATAAATGAGTAAATCATAACCCAGTCACCCAGGATCTGTTGACCTAGTCCTGTACTAGGTAAAATGGGATAGCCAAAAACCAGCCTGTAACAGAGAAATAAGGTTTGTTTGCCAAATAGCAGCACCCAGAAAGTTGTAGTTAAGAATGGAGTAGTCCTGGTTAGAAAAACAGGTTAAAATTAATTTTTCTTTCTCCTTTAGGAACTTTGAGTAAAAGGCAAACTAATACACACAAAACTAAATAATATTAAAGGCAAGAGACCAGCTCTAATAATAATACCTACTGAATGGTATGCCTTATGTATTATCCTATACTTTAATCCTTACAAGAATCCTAAGAGGGAATTCATATTATTATCTTCATTTTATACTTGAGGGAATGTGACGTACGAAGAGGCTGTTACCTGTGCAAGGTAAACAGCTACTTAATTGGTGTAAGTCATTAACAGTATATACCTAATATCTATAAATATACAATTATGTATTTGTAAATATGTAGAGCTAGAGATTGGTGAAAATTTTGTGGATAAGACAGGATTTAAATATCTAGACCAGCAAAATGAGGCAAGGGAGAACTTTTTTTTTTTATAACCAAGAGTGATGGATTGAAAAGATTTAAGAATGCTTTTATTTTCTAAATACAACGTATGAGTCTGCCATAACACTCATCTTTGGTCAATTTCTTTTTCATAATGTGAAGATAATAGTAATACTTACTGGATAGCTTTGTTGTAAGGTTTAAATGAGTTAAAATAGCCACAGTATTTAGAATTATGTATGAGACCTGGTAAATACTATGTGAGCTATGATTATTGTGATTTTTTTCCTTTGAAATTATGTTACAGTTGATATTTCACAATATGATCTATAGTAACTTAGATCTACTATAGCTAGAGTAGTAACTTTCAAACTTGAATGTGCCTCAGTATTATTTGAAAGCCTTGATTTAATAGGTTTGGACTGATAATTTACATTTCTTACAAGTTCGCAACTGGTGTTCATGATGCCAGTCCTGGAACCACTGTCAGAACCACTGGTCTAAAGAGTTACTTAATGTATCTGATTGAGATGCAAACCCAATATCCATATTAGAATGAAGTTACTGAGATTTGAAGTAACTCTACTTTTTTGTCCTCTCTCTCACTGTCTCTCTCTTACACACACACACACACACACACACACACGGAGTTATTTATAAATTGATAGAAAGAATTTAATTGCTTAGGATAACAGACAAGGAAGTCTACTTTATAATAAAAAGAAATCTAAATACATGTAGCTGTGGGCAAATTGGGTTAATTTAGAGTCAGAAGTAGAGCTAATCCAAGCTGTGCATATTACAGAAAACTCAGGCCCAGAAATGTAAAGTGACTAACACAAAGTCAGTCACCTGGAAGAATATCACTACCAGGGTCAGACTTTAGTATCATGACTCCCATCAAGAGTTCTTTCCATTAGATCTGTTGCTTATTGGTAGCCTGTTTGAAGGAAATAAATCACAGCCTCAGGCAGAAGTGGAATTGATGTTGCATGTCTGGAAGTGCTGCTGTATGCTCACAAATGCTTAGGACTCAGTGGGAAAGTAGGGAAGATCTTCTCATATATCTCTGTATATCTCTAGGGATAATTTTAACTCTATTTAGCTATCAGCCTCAATAATAAGGTTAACACGAAGGCTTTCTTTCTCTGCAAAGCCCTGACCACTTTGTGTTCCAGGATAACCTTTTTAAGCAAGTGGGGATGCTGATCAGCAAGGATATGACATTCTTAGTTGTTCTGTTCATTTTTAAAAATTCATTGTTACCGATACTGATACTGTAATGTTGTATCCTGAATTGATACACCATAAAGATCAGTCTGTATCTCAATCAGATACATTAAGCTACCTTGTCATCCCACTTTGAAGTGAAAAGTCTTTTCAGTCAATACACTATTCTACAATATTCTAAACCATAAAGTGAGTAGCTCTGAGAAATAGAATTATCTCCAGGGAAAGTGTGAAATTAGAGGTGAGAATTATTTCTGGTCTCTTTTCTAGAGATATTCCATGTCTGGAGAAATAGAAGAAACCAAAGATAAATTTAATTGTCCTGTTGTCAACATGAAGCATACCATGGGGTAGAATTAGCTGTTTCTGTGTAGGATTCACTGTTAGTGTTCATGTGTAGTGAACCTTGCCCAAAGAGATGCCCTTTGCGCTTGGATATAGGGAGGTGACTTCCAGATCCTTAAAGTGTCCTGCTTGGTAAGAGTGTCTTTGGGGGCTTTGACTACCAGCAGCCTAATAGAGTGACTTTTTATGGGGTTTTGAACAATGCTGTATCAGTTCTTCTGGAGGAAATGAAAAATATTAGTCTGACTTCCAGGAAGAACTGAAGATAAATGGTCAGTATGTGATCAAGTCCCAGTAAAATTTCTGAACATTGAAGTGTTTGGTATGCTTCCTTAGTTAGCAGTAGTCTGCCTAGTGTCACGTGTGGAAGGTGGGAGAAATGCCATCCATGGCTTCCTGGGGAGAGGATGGCTTGAAGCTCCATTTGGAACCCTGCTGGAGTCTGCCCTATGCATCTCTTCCCTTGGCTGATTTAATTTGTATCCTGTCCCTAAAACAACACCATAATGGAAAGCAGAGCATTTTCCTGAGATATGTGAGCTCTAGCAAATTAGGCAATGTGAGGGTGGCCAATCTGTAGACAGCTGGCCTGAGTGATGGTGGTTATGGGGACTCCTGAACTGGCGGTTGGTGTTAAAAGTCTTCTGGGGACTGATCCCTCAGAATTTGCAGTTTGGCCAAACTCATTCTATGGTGATGGCGAAAGAGAGGGTAAAAAATGTAAACTAAAAAGATTTAGGTATGAGACATAATGTGCAATCCTATGAAACAGATGAGTTTAGGGGGTTGTATTTTGGAAAATGTAAATTTAAAGAAGTATCTCCCAGATAGGAGTAAGAGACCAAAATCCTGGCAGAAAGAAAAATATGACCCATTGCAGATCTGAGTGAGATTCTTATAGAGTGACTTTAAGTAAATTACTTCAAGTCTTAGTCAGGTGGAGCTAAATATAGGAGCTAAAAAGTGCCAATATATGTGGAAACGTTTTAAAATTAACACATATAAATAAGAAAAAAAAAACCACAAACTGCTATTGCCATTTCAGAAAAATCTGAGGGTAACTGTCACAAACTGGGTTATACTGGAGAAGTTAAACCTTTTTTGATATATTTCCCCCCTCAGACTTGAAAAGGTTATTTTTCTGATTTTTTGAATTTGTCACATTACTATATTAAAAAATTTAAGTTGATTTGAATTCCAAGTTATTTTATATATTTTCTTATCTGTGTATTCCCAAACAGGGGACTTATTTTATTTAATTATTTTTTATTTTATTGAGATATAACATTATACTAGTTTCAGGTATATAACATTACAACATGACTCAGTGTTTGTGTACAATGATATGATCACCAAATAGCTACAATTTTTTTTTTTTCTTGTAAGGGGAACTTTTACTATCTACTCCTTAGTAACTTTTAAATATACAATATAATATTATTAACTTTAATCACCATGCTGCACATTACATCCCCAGGACTTATTTTATTTGCAAGGGGCTTTTAAAGCTAGAGAATTGGGGTGCTTAAGAAAAGCGATTCACATGTATCAATTTCTCCCCACATCTTTTATCATCTCCTCAATGTGTCTGATTTGTATCTACCCTACTCTCCCACAACGTTGGTTCACATTTTCGAGAAACATTTTAAATGTGCTCACCACCTCCCTCGCCCTCCCACACCCCCCAAGTAAAAGTTGTCAGCTGAGGTGTGCGGTCTTGGAGTGTTACCAGAGGCAGAACAGTCATGCTACTGGAGGTGTGTCAGGCTCGGGGGTTAGGTCTGGGTGGGTATATCTGAGAATTCTCTGCGGGCCGTGCCCTTCGCAGGTTGGAGGCAATGTGGGGTCCCTTCTCCAAATGGGTGGGCGCGAGGGGGATCAGCAGAGCTAGGTCTCGCTTAGAAGTCTTAGCTGGGCAGGGCCGGGAGAGGCCCATTTCCCACCTGGATTAAGATGGTTCCAATGGGGTCGTAGCTCTCGGCCGGCTGTGCCATGGTTAGGCCTAGGAGAGCTACCGCCAGCACCACGGCGCGGAAAGCTTAGGTGAAGGCGCTGTCTCCATGGCAACACCACGCAGTCCGGCCGGTCCTACGCCGGAAGCGGAAGAGGGGGGAGAAGGGCGGAGTCAGGGCAGCGGGTATATACAGACAATGCGCCCTTCCGAGTGCGGCCCCCCCGCGCGTGGGCAGCATTGGTACAGCCCGAGGCGGAAGCGGCGCCCGGGAAGAAGCGGCTGGACAGCGCAGCTATGGCTGCCGGGGTTCCCTGCGCGCTGGTCACTAGCTGCTCTCCCACCTTCAGCGGAGACCGGCTAGTTCAACGTGAGTAGTATGGTCAGCGGCCGCCCTCCAAGTTTCCCGTGCCTCGGGGGGCGACGGCCTCAGGACCCCGCCTGCCCGCTGGGCCTTGGTCCCCGGGCTTTGCCTCCCCAACTGGGTGGTCCGAGATCCCTCCCGGGCCCACTCGGTCGAAGTCCCCAGCCCTCTCTGGTGTCTGCCCCCACCTCTGACACGGCTTGATTTTCTGGTGACCCGGCTTTTGCGTTGCTTCCAGCTTTTTCTGTAAAGAGGGACTAATCCTTGCGCCCCCCAGCCCATGGGCTCTTGTGGGACATTCTTGTTGAGCAGAAAGGCTCTCTGGAAATGGGGCTGAGTTACGGCGAGTGTGGGGTGCAGGGGTGGTGATTTTTGTTGCTCGCCCTGCTCCTGAGTAGTATGTTCCCTCTGTGCTACCTTCATGTGTGCTGTGTAAGACTTGTGCGCCTTCTCCCCTCCACTCTTCAGTTACTCACTGCCCTGCCTTCCTTCTCAGCCAGCAGTCCTTGGTGGCTGTTACCGGGTCTAGTCCCTTTGCCTCTGGACCTTCATAGTGGCTTTCAAACTTAATCAACTCTTAAAAGAAGCCATAGGCAAGAGACCGGTGGAGGAGAGAGAGAGAGAGAGAGAGAGAGAGAGAGAGAGAGAGAGAGAGAGAGAGAGAGAGAGAACGGGATTGCGTACGAGGCTCAACTTTCCACTTAGTTACACGCTGTGAAGTTGATTGTAACTCAAGACTCCTGTTGTAAGTGCCTGGCTTCGAGACAGGAATATGCCTCTCAGCTGTGTGGTCTGGACCCACCCTCTTCAGTTTTCTTAGCATTTAAAATCTAATTCCATCATATATTACAAGATTGTTAAGATTTTTGGTGTATTTAACTTTCCGAAAGAATTAAATGCATTTGGGTTTCTTTTGCTGATATATAAACGTCCTTTCAAAGCCAGTCTCAAATATTTTGTGAAGTATTCTGATGATTAGTATTTTCATGTGCTTTAAGGATCAGAATTGGCAGGTGTGGTCATTTTCTTGGAACTGATTACCTCTAGTTAGTGAACAGAACATGGCACTTCTTTAAAATAGGTTAGTATCATTGAGAGTAAGTTAATTTTGTAAAGTAATGCACTTTATTTCTGTATGTAAAATACTTCTTTGATAATTCAAAAGCCAACCTTTATGTTGCTTAAACTTAGGTGGCCTTTACTTTGTGATTATAATAATGTTATGTAGTAAAAATACAAACAGCTAAGTGAAGCAATTGATTGAAGTACAGAAAAGGGTAACTGTGGAGAACATTACAATGAAGTATTTGATGAGCATTCACCGTTTTTGGGATAAGATAGAGACTACTATAATGAAATAATTTTTTAGGTGTTCAGTGATATTAGGCCATACATAATATGATTATGGATTGCTCTGACTCAAAGCCAGGCACTTAAAACAGGTGTCTTGAGTTATAATCAACTGCATAGCATGGAACTTTAAGTAGAAAGTTGAGTCTCTCACCCAGACCTATGCTCTCTCTATTCCACTGGTCTCGCTGCCTGTGGTTTCTTTTAAGAGTTAAGTTTGAAGGCCACTGTGAAGGTCCAGATGCAAAGGGACTAGCCCCAGTAATAGTCACCAATGAATGCTGGAGGACAGCTGACGCTTGAGGAGGAAGCTGAGGCAGTGAATATAGAGTGGAGGAGATTGATTTTGGATCTGAGTTATTTTGGATAGGTCTGGTTTCATTTCACCAGGAAGAGGAACCTTTAGGGTTTCTCCAGTTTCTCTTTCCTTCCACATTTGATCTATTTTACCGATTTTAACCAATAAATGGGAAATATTTCATGGCCAAATAGCCAAGTTTGTTATAAAAACAGGAAATAAAAATCACTAGATCTCTGCTATGAGTAAAGTGCATAGATCAACTTTGTGAGAAACTTTGTTTTGATTTGTCACTCAAGGGCCTTTTTTTGTGCAATATTCTGGCTGGTTGTCTGATGTGGGATTAAAACAGCATTATAGACTGACAAATAGACCTTTAAAATGTACTGAAGGCTCTAGGGACTTGATAGACTTCTGCAAGACTGTATGTGGTGTGCTGGCAGTCATTGGTGTAGGGTCAGACCTTTCTATCTTGTGTATTTATGTGAACATTTTTTTTTTTTTGGAAAAGCTTATTCTGATACGAAACTGAGCGCTAGTCTGCTAATTACTGTACCTAAAATGATGACTAAGATACTGTTCCTACACTTAAGAGGGACATAGTGAAAGGGTGTGCTCTGCCTGTGAAAATATTAAAATGTAGATTATGTATCTGTTTTAACATCTTGCTCTATTTTCTTAAAAGGAACTTTAGATAGAAGAGTTCCCAGAGACTGACTTAAAGTATGTCATGCCAACTTAGCAACTATTAATATAAGCCACTCAGATTTTACATTTGAGTATTTGGAGCAAAAAAAAAAATTAGTGAAATGTGGGCATTTGAAGATGTTGTAATCACAATAACCACTTATTATATGTATATTAGTAGTCTTCCCAAACATGTTTTCACATAATTTGTTTTTTGTGTTCCTGTGAAGTCATAAAGTCAGGGTCTGCATTTTAGAAGTGAAGAAACAGTGTCTTGGGAGCACTTGTCCAAGACCCTTGGGGTGACTTGTCCAAAATGCTGTGGTAGTACTAGAGCATATATTCACAGTCAGGATTTTTATGCCTAGAATTTGTGAATGAAATGTCTTAGAAGTCCTTAGCAGTCAGAACCATTTAAGTTTAAGATGGTAGGCGTTGGTGTAAGAAATGTTAGAGAAGACTAACCCCTAAAAGAAGGTTTAGATAGGCTCGCATTTCCACTTAAGATGGTTGAAATCTTAACACTGGGTAGAGAAAAAAAATCTTTGCTCAGTGGAACTGTTTTTAAAAGGAGCATTATGCATGCCTGATAGTCGTTAACAGTGTCTGAATTTTTGTTTTCTCAATTGAGTGAACCTAAAGTAGAGACATTATGAATTAGTCACGCCTATGTAGAATTAGCATTGAAAAAGAAATCCCAGAAGTGGGGTTACTAGGTCATATTTTTAATTTTCTGAGGAACCTCCATACTGTTTTCTGTATGGCTGTACCAGTATATATTCCCACCATTGGAAAAGGATTCCTTTTCCTCCATATCCTCCAGCATTTATTGTTGGACTTTTTAAAAAATATTTTATATAATTCTTACATCATTTTTCATTTTTGCATAATGTATGCATTTTCATTTTGTTTATATTCCCCATACAATTGCACCCCCCCCCTTATTTTGACCTTAGTCCTTCCTCTTTCCCGCCCCCAGCCCCACCCAGTGTGTCTCTGCTTTATAGTTGCTTGTTGATTTTGATTTTTTACTTTGTATTAATTAGTCTTTTTCCTGGTCCCTTATTTAGGTTTTCTAAATTCCTGCTATAAGTGAGACCATCCGGTATTTTTCTTTCTCTTTCTCACTTGTTTCGCTGAGCATGATCCCTTCTCGCTCCATCCATGTTGCTGCAAACTGCATGTGTTTATCTTTTTTGATTGCTGAGTAATATTCCATTGTATGTATATATGTACCACATTTTCTTGATCCAGTCATCTATTTTTGTGCATTTGGGTTGTTTCCATAGCTTAGCTATTGTAAATAGTGATGCTATAAACATAGGGATGCAGGTGTCCTTTGGAATTAATGTTTCTGTGTCATTTGGGTAAATACCTGTTTCTTGACTTTTTAATAATAGCATCATTCCAACTGATGGGTGAAATCTCACTGTGGCTTTGATTTGCATTTCCCTAATGATAAACTATGTGGAACATCTTTTCATATATCAGTTGGCCATCTGTATGTCTTTTCTGAAATATCTGTGCCCATTTTTTAATCAGGTTATATGTTTTTTTGTTGAGGTGTATATGTATTTTGGACATTAACCCCTTGTCTCATATATGGTACGCATATATCTACTCCCATTCAGCAGGCAGCCTTTTCATTTTAATGATGTGCAGAAGCTTCTTAATTTGATGTAATCCCATTTGCTTATATTCTCTTTCTTTGCTGTTGGCAGTGTATCCATAAAGACATCACCAAGGAAATGTCAAATTGCTTATTACCTATGTTTTTGTCTATATGTTATATGGTTTCAGAGATTAAATTCCATTTTGAATTAATTTTAGTATATGGTGTAAGATAATCTTCTAGTTTCATACTTTTGCTTATGACTGTCCAGTTTTCCCAAGACCATTTACTGAAGAGACTTTTATTTCGCCATTTTATGCTTTTGGCTTCTTTGTCTTAAATTAGTTGTCCATATATATGAGTTTATTTCTTAGCTTATAATTCCATTCCATTGATCTGTGAGCTTATTTTTGTGCCAGTACCATACTGTTTTGATTATTGTAGTTTTGTAGTATAGCTTGAAGCCAGGAAGCATGATCTTCCCCCTAACCATCCCCCTCTTTCTTCTTTTTTTTCTTTGGCTTATTTTGGCTCTTTGTTAATGCTAGCATTCTTAAATTTTGTGTGTTTGTGTCTTGATAAATGAAGAATCAAACCCCATTTTAGAGTTGAATAAACATCCCACTTGTGGCATACAGAATTTGACTCTTGGTATCAGGAAATCAGATACATTTACCCATAGAAACAATCCTCTGGGCCTCAAGTTTCCAAAAGTTCAGATAGCTCAACTATATGATAAACTAGATTTCGGGGGCTTTTACACAGGTAAAACCAGCTATCATCTATGGCATCACTTCTTTAGAAACCATTCATTCTTCTGCAAGACTGGGGTATTTGTAGTAGGGAATTTGTAAGTATAGGTCTATCCCTATACTTACAAAAGGATTTTGTAGTGGTTTACTAAGGACAACATTCTTGTTTTAAAGATAGGGGCCATTGTACAGTTTAACCAACATTATTCAATAACAGAATAGGAATAAGAGCTTGGATCTTCTAATTTGCTTTTTTCCTGTAGTTACCTGAGGTATTCTGAGTAGAGCATTTTGGTTTACTCCAGGA